GATGGTTTTTTAATTGTGTTGTGTCAATCTGGTTTCCAATTTTCTTCCTGTTACTTCGATGTAGAATTCTGGGCTGTTATCAACAGATCTGACCGGACACTCAATGACTCAGAACTTCAACTTCTAAACAAAGGCCTCAACTTTGCCGTCAACCACAAAACAACTCCATGCCAAGAGTTCAAAGAGTGCCTAGAAGACTAGTGACCCACTACATAAAAGGACAAAAGACCACCTCTACCTCAAACATCTTCCAACTACAGAAAGAAGAAATCCATGACATCAACCAACAGACTTTTATCACAGGCAACTACAACAAAATGTGGTTTTCCAACATTCCCAAAAACTGTATTTTAAATAACTTTTTTAAAGAATTCTCGAACAAGACTATTAATATAGTCAACCAATCCCATAAATTGAAAAGTAACCTCCCGAGTAACGAGATCAAATCCATTTATAATCTGAAAAAAGACACTAACATTAAAATTCTAAAAGCTGATAAAGGCAACACCACTGTCATCATGAACAATTCAGAATACATCGACAAAAGGAACGACATCCTTTCCGATAAAAAGAAATTCAAAGCCATCCCAAACAACCCAATAAACACATACGAAAAACAACTAAACAGAATTTTATTACAAATGAAAAAAGATAATTTAATTACTGACGATCTTTATTTTGATTTACGTAAAACTGATTCACACACACCGCAACTCTATGGCATTCCTAAACTACACAAACAAGACTGCCCCCTACGACCTATACTGTCCACTTATGATTCATTCAACTACAATCTTGGCAAATACATAGCCTGGGCTCTCACACCATATGTATCATCTGCAGGTTCATTTTTTTAAAGATGCCTTCAATTTCAAATATACACTAGAACAACTAAATTCGAAAGCCTTAATGGCTAGTTTTGATGTCGTGTCACTCTTCACCGAAATCCCCACCAATGAAGCTTGTAATACTGCACTCAACCTCTACATTAATGACACCAACAAGTTAATGCACATCCGTAGCACACTTTTTGCTTCTCTCTTAGAATTTACAATGACTAAAACCAACTTCATTTTCAACAACAAACATTTCCTTCAAATAGATGGTTTAAGTATGGGCAATCCTGTTGCGTCCATTCTTGCCAATATATTTATGACTCAGATTGAAACATAAACCATATATTCTGTACTTCATCCCCTGCTACACTGGTACAGATATGTCAATGACAATTTTGCTGGTTTCACTTCTACAGAACACACACTAACTTTCTTTGAACACATAAATTCCATTCATCCAAACATCAAGTTTACCATAGAACACGAAAACAATAAACAGTTATCTTTTCTTAACCTCAAAATTATTAGATCGGACACACAGTTTAAAACCAAAATTCACCGCAAGAACACACACTCTGGCCTCTACATCCCCTGGAATTCTGCTTATGACACCACACGAAAAATCAATACACTTAAAAACCTCATAAACACAGCCACAAGACTCTGTTTAACTGACAACATAAATGAAGAAATTAACCACACAAAGCATTCCTTCATTCACACCAATAAATTTCCACCAGCTATTGTTGAAAAACTCTCCAACATTCCCCACAGCAAAACTCAACTCACAAACAAAATTGATACCAACAAACCCAACAACAGAATATTACACTGCAGTTTATCTTTTGTTACTGAAACCAGCTCAAGAATTACCCACACTTGGACTAAACTAGCCATTAAACACAATATTAATGTCAACGTCAAATTCTCACAAAAACCTGGCCCTAAATTAAAATTGGTACTAAACAAAAATTATTTAGAATCAC